AGTCTTCAGGAAAGGAAGAATAGCAGCAATGGTTAAGGTCACAGGCTATTCACAGAGTGCCAGATTTAAGTTGTCTCAACTCCACTACATATCTTGTCAGAAAATGGAGATAATAATGTGATTGTAAGGTTTCTATGAGTACTAAATGGATACTTAAGGTAAAGTGTTAAGACAATGCCTGGCACATAGTCATGTTCAAGGAATTGTTGTCATCATCCTTTAATTAGACAACTGGTTGTATCCCAGAAAACAAGCAGGTATGGGTTTATGAAAGTTAAATAGGCTAAATAGAGTTGAGACCAACATATGCCCACCTCACCAAGGCCTTTATCATCATGTATGTACTCCATGCCTTTTGCTTGGCCTTTGCTCTTGTTTGCATGTAAAGAACTGCAGTGTGTTACTTTTCACAAGCAGCAAAACTAAAAATATAGAGTCCAAGAGATACCCTGAGCTTTCCCAAAGGCACAGAAGTTACCGTACAAGAGTTTTCCACGCTGAGAAATTCAAGGAGCCTACCTTCCAGAGGGGTTGGACCCATGGACCAATGGCCATGGTACTCATAGAAAACGCCACTCCTTTTGTTCCCATACAGTTCCATAGAATTAAGAAAAAGAAGGGGTGGGGGCAAGTACAAAGGCTAGGAGGCACCAGCCAGGGAAGGCGACTGTTTTATTAATCCATGTGATTAATCCAGCATGCTAAGGAAGATTCTTTACAGAATCTGAACTTGGGTGTTTTGATCCACATGGATTAGAAAACACTGCTGCATTCACTTGCCAGTGCCTTCTCTGCTTTGTGCTTGAGTCTTATTCTTCAGGGTCTAGCAGGAACAAAGGAGAAAGAGCATTTATGTGAACACCAGCAGCATAGGCACTTTGACAAATGTCCTTCTCCCCCTCCCCTTCTGGGAGACACTTCCTGAATTTCCCAAGGACTAAGCCCTGGGTTTGTATTTGCATCATTTCCCCCCAAAAGCTCAACACCTAAAAACTGACCCCCAAAAGCAGATTTCTGTCAACCCATGAAAAGTGGTTTTCACCACTTCACCCCCCAAAGGGGTGGGATGGCAAATCCCGTCCCAAGCTCTTTGCAAGAAAGTGGTGAGAATGGCACAGAAGTATTCAGGTTCCAGTGGGAACCACCGTTTCCTCGAGACGGAAGGTAACGGTCCCAGAGTCCTGTCAGCATCTGAGGGTTTTCTCACAAGCTTTAGTGTGAGAGGAATGGGAGCCTTTGCATTTGCCAAAAAACAAGTAAGTCCCAGTCAGGCTTCACTCGCCTTCGGTCGCTAAAATGTGATTCTGAAAACTAGTGTGAAGTATGTCTGAGCAAACAAAAACGTTCTGAAGCCATTTCATCTCTTCTTATTCTACATGGAAAAGGAAAAATGAGTCTTCTCCACGGGACCTCTGTGATCTGTCACATCAGGATTCTCCGACCTTGGTGAGACTTTTCCAGAGAATGAGTTGGGCTGAGGCTGCTATCAGTGCCACCAGAGTGGTGGTGCACGGTAACAGCCACAGAAACCTTCCCAGAGCACACTTAGGGACACGAGGAGGGTGTGGCTCTCAGTTCTGGAAAGAGAATTTCAGCTTCGGAGTGAAACTGGGCTAGCCCAGGTGACAAGATCCCAGCTCCCGTCACCTTCCTGCCTCCCATCTGCCCAGGTTCTCCGAGCTACGGTCCCTATCCTACTGTAAAAACTGAGGCCAGAAGCTGGGACACCTCCCAGGTGACATTCAGAGATCAATCAATGAAAAGCTGAAAAGGTTGTGAGGCTGCTCTGTTAGAAATAGTTTTACACTCCCCTCACCTCTTAAAACTGTATTCACATTTTTCTCACATCTGTCCCTGTACTTAGCACAGTTCTTGGCACAGAGTTGGCATTTAATAAGCATTTGTTAGATTGCTCAATGGGTACAAAGTTACATTTAAATAGGAGGAATAAGTCCGAGTGTTCTACTGCACAGTAGGGTGACAGCAGTATTGTATTGCATATTTCAAAATAACTAGAAGAGAGAATTTTGAGCATCCTCACCACAAAGAAATGATAAATGTGTGAGGTAATTACCCTGATTTGATCATTATTATTTCATCATGTACTGAAACATCACGCTGTACACTGTACCCCATAAATATGTGCAATTATTATGTGTCAGTTAAAAATAAAATGAAACAAAAAATAATAAATATTTTTGAAATGTATAATATCATAGAACTCATTATCAGTTAGCTACCTTGTTCTTTAGGTAGAATCCTAATCTCCCTCTTTAGGGACAATCACCCTGACAAATGTATCTGTGTGTCTTCCAACACCTAGCAGAGCACCCAGAACATGACAGGTTGTTAATAAGTGTTGGTTAAATCTGTGATCTGTGGCAGAATCTGCTCACGTGCAGTCTTGTCAGATGGGTCTCCGAAAAGCATGGTTTGTATTTGTGTGTGTACATGTGTGTGCACATATATGCCTACATTCTCGTCTGCATCTACAAGTATATGGGTGTATGTTTGGCTCTGAAGACAGCAGCACTAAGGAAAATGAAAAGTAGGAAGCCTTAAATTTTGGCTGGTCATCGACCCTCCTACCTGAAAAAAAAAATCATTTCTACAACATTCTGCTGGCCAACCATTCAGGTTATTATTGGTTAACAGAAAAATATTTTCTTAAATGGAGATTAGAGATCATCCAGTCTCCTCCTTGTCTTGCTTTATAGCAGAGAAGACTGATCCAGAGAGGTTAAGTAACTTGCACAAGGTCATCCAGGTAAATTCTCACCTCCTCTTCACTGCTCAGATTTCAGCAGCCTTGTTTGAGCTCCGTGATTCTAGAAAAATATTTCTTGCCAATGTTGCCAAGACATTCTGATTGTTAATGAGCATTCTTAGTATGTTTATTATATGTCCTTTCTTAGTATTTGATGCTAACTATTTTTTTCTCCTCTTGAAACTCATGACTTCATGAGTTTTCATCAAAGTTAACTGGCTAAATAAGTTAAGATATACCCATAAAATATATTACTCTGAAGATGTAAGAAAAATGAATGAGGAAGCACTGGATGCACTGATGTGAAAAGAGCTCCCAGCTACAGTGTGAAGACAGTGAGATGCAGAATGCTGCTTCCTACCTGCACACTCACATTTGCTCACGCACACACTTTTATTTGCTTAGAGAAAGTGTTGAAGGATTCCCAAGAAACACTAAAAGTCATTTTCTATGGGAGAAAGGAGAATGAGGAAGGTTGAAATGAGGGTGGGGACAAGACTGTTCACTGTATACCTCTTGATATTTTCAGTTTTTGAACCACATAAACATATTACCCTCCACCAAGATTTTAATATTTTTTTAAATAAAGAAGAGTTGGAATGTACAGCACACAATGGGATTCTCAAAAAAAAAAAAAATTCCATTAAAATGGCATTGCTCTAGGTCTTTGAAACAATCATAAAATCAACAAAACCTTTCAACAGCCCTGATATCAATGCATGTGCAACAAATTTTATTAATATATGTGTAAATACATAGGTACTACAGTAATAGGGTATTGGGCAGGGGGGAGGGGGAGGGGGACAGGTTTATACATACATAATGAGTGAGATGTGCACCATCTGGGGGATGGTCATGATGGAGACTCAGACTTTTGGGGGGAGGGGGTAAATGGGCATTTATTGAAACCTTAAAATCTGTACCCCCATAATATGCTGAAATAAAAAAATATATATATGTGTAAATAAATAAACACATTCTAAAATAACACATTGCCCAAATGAAAGTATAGCAGTTACCTGCTTTATCAATCAATTTTCCTAAAAACTTCATTTTCTCTTAGGTAGTAAACTGGTAAATTCATTTACCCTTTTAGTTCAGTGAAACAGTCCTCAAAATGAAGTTTATGGATAGTCCCAGGTTGTTATAATAGTCTATGGTGTCAGCATTATGTAGAATATAACTAATACAGCCACATATCATTTTGTTGTAACACAAAATGACATTCTTTTGCTTGTTCCATACCACCATTTCTCTCTCTCTCTCTCTCTCTCTCTCTCTCTCTCTCTCTCTCTCCATGCACATGCACTGACAAACACAAACATTTTGCATAATTTAAATGCAAATGTCCTATAAAAAATGAAATCATATATTTTGCAGCAACATAGATGGAACTGAAGGCCGTTATCTTAAGTGAAACAACTCAGACACAGAAAGACAAATACCACATATTCTCACTTATAAGTGGGAGCTGAACAATGTGTATACACGGACATAGAGCATGGAAGATGGACAATGGAGACTCAGAGGGGTGGGGGGGAGAGTAGATGATGAGAGGTTGCTTGGTGGGTATAATGTGTGTTGCTTCAGTGATGTAGGCACCGAAGGTCTTGATGTCACCACAATGCAATATATCAATGTAACAAAACTGCACTTGTACTCCATAAATATATATAAATAAAAAATAAGTGGGAAATAAATAAACGCAGCCGTCGATCAAGTGCCCCATCTCTCTCGCCTCAGGGGTAGCATAGTTGACTGATGTGTTTGTTCTATTCTCTCAGACACCCTGATTCCAGGGGTGAATGTGAGACCCAAGTTTGGCCAAAGTCACTGAATAAGCAGTGGGGACTGTTATAGATGCATGGCAAAAGTGGCTTCTGTACTTTTGAAATTACAAGCTATAAGAATCAGATATGCTTATAGCTGCCAGGGCACATTATTGCTATCTTTTCTGAAAATAAACCCAACTTGAGAATGAAGCCAACATGGAGATTAATCAAAAAAGAAATAAAATCATGACAATACTGGTTAGCCCTAGATCCAACCATGCCTCAAGCCAATGCACCCCTTGGATGGACCAACTTCATAAGCCAATGAGTCCTCTCTTTGGTTGCCATTTGGAAACACAGCTCAAGTGTTCTTCAATGACATCTTTATGATTCTTACCTGTATATATTTTAGAGTTTCTTTGAAAACTCTGGTCTTTTGGGGAATTATTTTCTTAATTTACCTTGAAGATGTAGAAAGCGTAGACTATTAAATTTCAGAGAGTCAGAGAAATTCTTCATGTGAGTAATGAATCTGGAGCAGGGCAAGGTGATTCTTTCATAACGAGGGCTGTGCTATAAGGTAGAGAAGAAAAATACACAAAATAAAATTAGGTCTCTGGCTCCAGAAATAATCCACGCCTCCTACCACTCTCACTTCCCTAGATGAGTGATATTTCTAAAGTATTTTTTCTTGTTTCTCCTTTAAAAGAAACAGAAAAGAAGTAGCCTTGTGATGTTTGGGGTTAGGGTCACTCCAAGTGCAGAGAACAGCCTGCAAAGGGCAGAAGACGCAGAGGGGAGGCTCTCAACTCAGGCTTTGTCACCTTGACATGACCAAGAGAGAAAATAAAGAGGTGAAGGAGCTACAAAGATACTGGATAAATAATATGAAATAAGGTCATAATTAAGAATAATCTGATTTAATTTTAACTAAAAAACAACTCATTAAACATGTGGTCAGCACCAACTGTCCATTAGTGTTTGTGTATAATTTGTATTGTTTGGATTTGAATATTGTACAGATACTATTGTTTGGACATTGGATATTATTCTATGGATAATATTGTCTGAATATTCTGTGTTCCAAGTATATCTTAACTTGCTGGGTCTACAAGAAATCAAACCATCCTGCATGAGAGAGAGGATTTTACCTAAAGGGTGAGGTTTTCATCCTATCACTGCGCACAGCCATATCACTCACCCAGCCCTGCCCATTTCCTGAGGAAAAGGCTTGTGTCTCTAGCCAGAAACATTAAGCTGAGTGGGAAGGCATTGGAGTAGGAACTCTCTGTTTGCCATGACTACAGACCAAAGAGGCAGTGATGGAAGCTTAGGTGGAGACACAGGAAGAGAGCGGGGAGTTGAGTGACCTAGTCCAGTTGCACAGTCACAGAGCATGGGAGGTTAACTGAGAAAGAGTCAGAAACCTGTATCTTATAAGCCTTTTGTGCTTCCAGCATTTTCTTTATTCCATGGTTCTGAGTAAAGTCTTTTAAAAAAAATCATCCCATATGAGTTAAGAGAAATGAAAGGAAGATAATTTCTACCATTTTAAAAGGTAAAAAGTAGTGCAGGAGTGGTAGTGATACTCAGAGACCTTAAGAGAAAGATCATTTTCCTGGCTTGGCTAGTGCCGCTGTCCCACCTGGAGATGACCTTTGCTAGGACAACCTTGGAGGAAATAGTTCAGAGCAGGGGCTGTAGAATCATGAAGTCCCATGTCCAAATCATCTCCACCCCTCTCTATGAGCTGGGTTGACTCACCTTCTCTGTTTCTACCTTTACAAAATGTGACTAATGTTATCTCATGACAACCATTATCCCCATTTTACGGATGAAAAACTAAATAACTTACAAAAGCCATATAAGTATTGAAAGCAGGTCTCAAATCCACTCTTTCCTACTCCTAAGCCCATGTGTCCTTAACCCTACACCATATTTCCATGTCTCAGTGTTGGCACAACCAGCAATCTAGGTATCCAAATCAGCACCTGGAAGGTCACCCAGGACCCCCAGATCCATGCAGGACTGAATCCTGCCAACCCCACCCCCTTAATGTCCTGCAGACCCTCTGCTTCCTCTACAGCCCGACACTACCCATTAGCATCTCCACCCATGTGCCTGCTTGCAGTTCACCTCCATGGAATTCCCTCTTTCACATTATCTTTCTAAAACCCAAGTCTAAATGTGGCACTCGTCTTCTTAATAGTGTTCAGTGGTTTCCCATTATTTAAACAGTGGTTCTCAAACTTTACTATGCATAAAAATCACCTGGAGAGCATGTTAAAATGCAAATTTTGATTCAGAATGCCTGGTTTAAAGGATCCCAGGGACACGCACTGTGCAGAGTTATCTCGGGTGATTGATACAAGCAATAAGCTACTTCTGTTACTCAAAGTGTGGCCCACAGACCAGCATCACTAACATCACCTGGATGCTTGTTAGATCGGGGGATTCTCTGGCCCTGCCCAGACCTACTGAATCAGGATCGGAATTTTAACACGGCTCCCAGCTAATCTGCATGCATGTTAAAGATGTAGACCACGCTTTCATCAAATCAAGATCCTTTCTGTGGTATAGGATGCTGGTCATGACCCAGCATCTATTTATTAATATCCCGTCTGCCCATCTCACAAGACACTCTCCTCTGTGATCTAAATATGCAAACTAGGGAAACAGAGGCACGTAAAAACTAAGACGGTGACCCCCATCTTCTTCATCTTGATCACCGCAGTGCCTAGCACAGTCCCTGCCACATGAGATATCCTGCTTTGTTGATATATGTTGAGTCCAACTGAATGGAATTAAATTTGTGTTTAAAACATATTTTGAAATGTAGCATTATTAATATATTCGAATTATTCCTTTCTTCAGGGTATGATTTAACTGGAATGAAAAAGAATAAATGGAGAACAGACTGTCTATGTCATGAACCAGGTGCATTTTACTCCTTAAAACATGGAACATTTTGTCACTGGGCAAGGGAGGAGGCTACTGATTCTTCTCTGTGAAGACCTTGTTGCCTTCAGTCGATCCACTGCCTGAAGTCAAACCCACACTCTGTATATTAAAGAACAACCCCCACCTGTGTGTGTGTTGTGGGTTTTTTTTGTTGTTGTTAAAAGAAGAGCAAACGTTCACCACAAAGATACAAGAACAGTAAATATTGATCTTCTTGACGGCTGGTGCACCTCACGCCACAGGCCACTCAAGCATCTGCTCATTGCCACCAGCCCTCCGCTTTGTCGGGGAATAATGCCAAGTGGCCTTGTGGGCTATCGGCCGCCGATAGCAAATATTTAAAAGAAATAAATTTCTCTGAATGAAAAGCACCTTTCTTTATTATCCAACCCCTTCTCCTCCCAAGTCATGTTGATTTTGAGGCTGTGCACACTCCCAGCACCTGTACTTTTCAATTGTTGGCTTGCCAAGAACACTGTGGTTTTCTTGCTTGGTTTTAGGAGCCATTCTAAGTACAGTAGCCAATGAAAGGGTATTTTCTTTCTCTCTTGGCAATATGTAAGGGGAACATCAGCTTCAGTACACCTACTAGCAGCAACTGTAATTAGAGAACACGGAAACACATCCTTACATTACTCTAAAAAAAAAGGTTGATTATCATACATTTAATTTCCGATGTCAATTTCTTATTCTTATTGTCATGTTTTAAAACATAGAATGCTATTGTCATTTTGAGGATGCTCTAACTTCTCTCACTTCTTGCTGGGTATTTTGATTTTAGGGTTTAGGTTTCCCCTCAGTAGTGTTCCACCTGTGTTAGCATTGTTTGCTCCCTGCATTGTTTCAATGTCCGCTGAGCTTCTCTCTTCTCTGTGTTTGTTTTTTTTTTTTTTTTTTTTTTGAGACAGAGTCTCACTTTGTTGCCTAGGCTAGAGTGAGTGCCATGGCGTCAGCCTAGCTCACAGCAACCTCAAACTCCTGGCTCAAGCAATCCTTCTGCCTCAGCCTCCCAAGTAGCTGGGACTACAGGCATGCGCCACCATGCCTGGCTAATTTTTTCTATATATATTAGTTGGCCAATTAATTTCTTTCTATTTATAGTAGAGACGGGGTCTTGCTCTTGCTCAGGCTGGTTTCAAACTCCTGACCTTGAGCAATCCGCCCGCCTCGGCCTCCCAGAGAGCTAGGATTACAGGCGTGAGCCACCGCGCCCGGCCTCTTCTCTGTGTTTTTGTTCATCTCATGTTAAAAGCTTTTCCTCCTCAAGGATGCTAGAGAGCCTTGGCTGACTACTTGTTCATATTTAAGGGTAAGGCACTTCTCACTGCAGCCTTGGATTCACTTGGGCTGGGCTAATTGACAGTGGACTTCCCAGCAGCATGGGGCAGGAAGTCCACCTTTCCAATAACAGCCCCTCATTGTCAGAAGGTGAAGGGCTCTTCTCTGGTATTTCCTCCCAACACCAGCCCAAGTAGTACCAGACTGAGAGCATTCTGGGAGGAGCAGAGCAGGAGGAAAGACCCTGAAGGTCTCACAGGCCACTACATAAAATTTTAAAAAACCCCTATTTGGTATTTTTCAGTGTTCTATGTCTTTTATTTGAGTATCTGAAAGTAATATTCATTTTATGTTATGTAGTTAAACAAGCAAATAATGTTCATTTAATTAAACACTTAATACTCTAAACATTTCCAACATTTCAAGTGTATCATTTTTAATATGGAAATAATTCTTCTTACTCTGTGATTACTGTGAAGCTCAGATTCAAGATTAGGTTGGAGAGAAGAAAAACATTAAAATTAGATTAATCAATTTCATGTAAATTTTACTTATTTCTTAGAGACAAGATCTTGCTATGTTGCCCAGGTGGGACTTGAACTCCTAGGCTCAAGTGATCCTTCAGAGTCAGCCTCCTGTGTAGCTAGGACTACAGGCCTGTGCCATCCCAGCTGGCACATTTTTTTTAATTTCAAAATATTAAGGGGGTACAAGTGTTTTAGGTTTCATGGATCACTTTTGCAATGCTTGAGTCCTGACTATGGTATGCCCAAGAAACTCCTATGGGGAGCCCCCGACCTCATCCCTGAGTCAGGAGCCTCTCTAACTTAACTTTGCCAGAGAATAAATCCTTGTCCTGACCCTGTGGAATAAGCCAAAAGGAAATGGAACTCCATATCCAGCCTCTCACCAGCCCCCTGTTCTAAGCCTGTGCCCACTCCCTGATTTAGAAGATATGGAGAACCTTTAGGATCCGGGATTTGGGGGTATGGTGTGAATTGACTCATTTCTCCTTGTCTGGCTCCCGTGTAGACTTGTGTTGGGAGTCACTTCATTCTGTCAAGTCAGTTACCACTTTTTAACCAACTTAACGGCTTTCTAAAAATTATTGAAATTGCTCACCTGATGTAGTCTCCTCTCTATGTCTTTATCCTTGTGGGTGAGTGTATTTTGTTTTAAAGCAGTGCTTTTCAATCTTTTTCAAAACCACATGAGATATAAAAAAATGTATAATACTGGTAGGGAACCCCGAGTTAAATGGATAAGGCCACTCAAGGCCAAGGACAACTGGTCTGAACTGACCTGACTGTCCCACGTCCCAGTAGACCGCCAAGAGGGCTAAAGAAATTTATATTTCTGCCCACCTACAACCTATCTGCAGCATACCATTTGGAAAGCTCTGTTCTACCATTAAGTTCACAGAGATTGGGGAGAGAGAGATAAATGTGTGTTCAGTCTACCATGTTCAATCAGACACCCCTCACTGTTCACTCTTCTACACTGTGGACACCTGTCTCATCGTTCTGGAGGATACACCCAGCAGCTGCCTCAAAAGGCATCCTCCCAATCCCTCTTACCAAGAACACCATAGGCACCAACTGGTCTCTATGACTGTTCTCCCTAGAAGTAGAGAATGTAGTTCTCCTCACCCTACCATCCCCACCCCAGGCAAATAATGGGCCCCATGATGAATCGTTCAAGTTTCAGGAGCCTGGACCCCCAACGCATTCAGCCTGGCCCCTGGTAACTGGAGAGAGAAGGGATTCTACCCCAGCCAATGAAACAGAACTGTGGTGAAGACAAAAAGAATAACCTAAAAGAAGCTAACACACAGTCTGGCCAGGCAGTATGCCATCGTGCTCAAGACCGTGGGATTTGGAATTTGTCATACCTGAGTTGGAATCCTGCCTCCACCATTGACTGGACATGTGATCCTAGGAAAATTACTCCACCTCCCTAAACTTCAATAGCCTCATCTGGAAAACAGGATTTAAAAGTAATTCCTGTTGTTGTGAATGTTTAAGTGACAGAGCAACCGCAAAGTGCCTAACACAGAGGTGGTGAGCGAATGAGTGGGAAGAAAACATCAATGGAAGTTGAAAGAGAAAAGATAATGCTTGCAAGGAAAAAAAGACCAGGTCTTAGAAAAAACATTAAACCATGAATAAGAAAGGTCAGGGTCGCAGTTAACACACACACACAGACACTTAGGTCCCCAGCATTCACAGAGAAATAGGAGATGTATAGATATATAAAGATATAGATAAAAATCACAGTTCTCAATATCATCTGTGGTCCTTATATGTGACAGTGCTTCCAGGAATCAGCTTCCTGGTGTTGTTTTCCAGGAGAAGAACAAAATTAGTATCTCCATTTAGTTATTAATTAGTCCTCCAAATGGGGTCAGGCATCCTCTCCTATTGTTAGCCCTCTTTTTAACAAGATCATAAATAAAAATAAAACCAATCTCCCATCTCATCATCTGCCTCACTCAGACACCAGCCCACACATTATTCTATGCTGAAAAAAGGAGACCAGTGTGAATATTTGAGAATAATACAAGCTTGTATATGTGTACAGGGCCAGCCCATTACCCACTTCTAACTATGTGCCCCGAAGTGTCAAAGGAAAAAAAAAGGGCCAACGGAGAAAATATAATATAGGTCAATATCTCCTTGACAGCTATTGATAGATACATTACTAAACCTGAAGATGTTGCTTCTTAAAAAAAAACACAAATTGAAGTTTCTTCCGGGTTCTCTGTAATGATGGGGTTTGGATCATACTTGGACAAAGGAATCATAATTCAATTATCCAATGATTTATTACAGTATAACTTTACCCACACTCGATATTTGGATGTGTAAACATCAGAGTATTACCCTCCCTTCCATCCCAGGCTTCGCATTTCAGATTTCATTAGCCAATAAAGCCAGGTTTATTTATAATAAAGTTAAGCCCTTCAAGCCACTGACCATGGAAACCAGATTTTGAAATAATTCAGATTTGTGTTTCTGTTCTTTCTAATTAAGGGTAATATCGGGAAGCACAGACAGTGGGTAGCATTGTTCGAGCACCATGGATTTAAGCAAGAAAATCTGATTATCAGCTCATGTCAGAAGCCAAGCGATAATGCAGCTTAGCATTCGTTTGGGCTTTTTCTTTGGCCAAAAGATAATTACCGTTCGTGAGGCCTTACGTAAGTGTATCTAATATCTAAGGCCCTAAAATTTATGAATAGCAAAAGCACACAATAGGCAAAGAAGAATTACTGTATTTATTATTTCTATGGCTTGTTCCACCATGATAATTTCATTATCTAGCAAAGTTGAACCTCTAAAATCAAAGTATAATTTCTTAAAGGACAAGAAGTTAAATAGGCTGGCAAGGTTTTCTGCCTGATTTCCTCCAGCAAAAGTTATTTCTAACGAATAAGAAGTAGACTAGCCAGAATTTTAATAGGAAATTTACCAAAGGGGACTCAGAGGTACCTATTGAGGTCATTACGCAAACACGTTAAGCTTCTGTAGCAAGATTTTTGTTTCTTTGTTAAGCTGTTATTTCTCAATCTTATGCTGTTGATAACAAATGCAACACTTCTTAATAAACAACAGGAAAAATCTGACACTTAAAAAAGTACTTCTTGGCAAAAGCAGGATATCGTCACAGTGAACACTGCTGAACACACACAATGTGAGTATAGTTACAAAGAATAAATGCTGGGAGCTCAGAGGGGAAATTTTGCTTGAACTAGGAGTGAGAAGTTTTATATATAAAATCAAATCTATTTATGAAGATGAATAAAATCAAATCGTGCAATTTCCAAGGTAAGTTTGTTGAGATCCTCTAAACCATAAAGAAGCAACTGCTTTTGGAAGAGAAAGATGGCATGATTGTCTTTAAGTATAGATTTTTTATTTCGTTAGGAATAAATTCTGTTTCCTTGCTTATTATATACTGGCAGCAACTAACATTTTATTGAGTACCTACTATGGGCCAGGCATTGTTCTAAACACTGTAGACATTTTTAACTCATCAAATCCTCACAATAACCTTGTAAATCAGTACTTTATTATCCCTATTTTATATATGGAAAATGAGTCACAGAGGGGTTAAATAACTTGCCCAACTGGCTCCCATCTCTCCAAATTTCCTATGTATAGGGCACCTGATTTTATTCATCCTCATCATTAGAGTTGGCTTTATCTCTCAAACTTCTAACCACTAGTGCAAATAATTTTTCCACTCTAGGTTGCCAGAATTTATTCAGTGTGACATGTACTCAGGCTGCTTGTATTAATAATCACAGCAATGCTTGCT